CCCAAATGGCCACAGGACACTGGTGGTCGCCCCACTCCTCGACGGCGAACTGGAACGCCGAGTCCTTGTCCGCGAGGCGCAGCTCGGCGTCGGGCGCGTCCGTGCGCAGGAGGCACGCGGAGAACGTCACGTCCTCGGGCGCGAGCCGCTCGCGGTCCGTCGCCGCGCCGACGCAGTGAAGCATGGCGTCGACGCGCCGCAGCGAGAGGCCACCGTTGCACGAGTACTCCAGGATGTCCTCGAAGCCGCCGCAGACCGCGCCGATGAGGCCTATCGCGTGCATTTGTTCGGGCTACACCAAGGACGCCGGACGAGACCCCAGCGCATGTCCGACACGCGCGGCGGCCGAAGTAACACCTAGAAACGCGCGACGATCAGTCCCCCACGCACGAGTGTCAGAAGGACGCCGAAATGAAAAACGCAGTCCGTCTGGAAGATCAGCACGTGCTCGTGGGGCCGCAGCGCCTCCCAGACCTAGGGATGCATGTCTTCCAGGCGAGAACGAGCTCAGGGAGGACGCCGTCCCGAGACGTCCCGCTCCAACAGCAGCGCGGAGAACGCCGCGTTGTCCGCGAGCGGTCCCGGCAGCTCCATGGTCAGGAACGCGCCGTCGACGCGCGCGCGCACGTAGGCGAGCGTCGCCGCGTCGCCGGCGACGCAGAGGTTCCAGCCGCGGACGCGGCCGTCGTCGCCGCCGCCGTCGTCCGCGAGGACGTCGACGGCGTTGCGGATCGCGAGGACGAGCCAGGGCGTCGGCCGCGTCTCGACGATGAGCGCGACGCGCGGCCGCGCCGCGTCGTAGGTCGCCGGCGCGCCGCGCGCGAGGTAGCGCGCCGCGAGGCGGTTGCCGACGCGCGGCTCGTGGCGGATCTCGAGCCGCGGGTCCGCCGCGCGGTAGTCCGCGGCCACGGCCTTGCCCTTGACGGCGATCGTCTTCTTGCCCGACGGCGGCGCGCGGGCCACGAGCTCCAGCGCGCGGATCTCCGCGTCGGCGCGCGCGCGGAGGACGCAGCGCAGCGACGACGGCGGCGGCGGCTCTTCCGGTCGCTCCGAAGGCGGCTCGAGCACGACGACGTCGCCGTCCTCGAGGGCGTCGCCGATCAGCGCGTCGCGGTCCAGGATCGCGCCGTCCCTCGCTCGCCGCAGCGCGAGGCGCGGCGCGGCGTCGTCGAGGCCTGCGCCATGCTTCTCGCGGAAGCTCTTGAGGAAGCTCTTGACGAGCACGCCGCAGGCGCGCGTGCGGCGGTGCTTCTCCGCGAGCGTGAGGCGCACGCTGTGCGATGGCTCGACGAGGTATTGCACGTCGACGCGCAGCATGCCGCAAGGCTTAGCCACCACCATCATGAAGCAGCCCTCATCAAGTTCAAGATAATGTTCAAGTTAAAAAATATTATCAAAGCCGAGCCAAAACCGCGTCGAGCTTGCTCTCCAACGCATCAAAACGAGCGTCGACGTGGCGGCGGAGGTCCGCGAGCTCCGCGGCGAGGCCGCCGGACCGCGGCGCCGCGGGCGGCGGCGCGGCTGCGGCTTTCGGTTTCGAAGCTTTCGGAGCTGCTGCCGCCACAGGCGCCGGACTCCGCGCCACGTCCACGACGCGCGCCTCCGCGGGCGCCGCCGCCGCGCCGATGCCGCAGAGCGGCGCGGCCCTGGCGTCGAGCTGCACGAGCGCGACGAGGTCGCCGTTCCCGCGCGCCGCGAGGCCGCGGACGCGGGACTTGGCGGCCGGCGGCGCGAGCGCGACCGGCGGCCGCGGCGCGAGGCCGTCGAGGGCGAAGCGCGCGACGGTGCAGTGAGCGTCGAAGCCGCTCGCGGCGGAGACCTCGTCGCCGTGGCACGCGACGTGGTCGACCTGTGTGGGAATCAAATATTCAACCCGGCCGTTTCGACACAAGAGCAATCGACTCGTCCAAAAATCAGCCGAATCGACTTCGATTTGACCGGGCTAGAGATTTCTGAAGTTTGGCCCCGACGTCCCAGCTCACCGGTTGATTTCCACACAGTGGTCGACGAGCGCGGCGCCGCGCGGCAGCGCCCCGACGGCCGCGGACGCGGCGACGGCGAAGGCGCCGCGCGCCTCCTCGACGCGCGCGAGGCGCGGCGTCGACGCCCGCGGCGGCGCGGGAGCCGGCGGCGGCGCGTCGTCGCGCGGGAGCAGGAAGCCCGCGGGCACGTTGCCGCCGCCGAAGCCGGAGAAGCTCACCTCGCCGACGACGCCGGCCGCCGCCGCGGGCCGTACGATGAGGGGCACGGCGTCGTCCCTCGCGACGACGAGCGGCGGCGCCGCCTTCGCGACCTCGCGGAGCTCGCCCGACCGGTCCTCGCGGTACGCGACCGCGGCCTCGAGCGCGACGACGAAGCCGCCCGACGGCGTCGCCGCGACGGCCCGCGCGGCGCCCGCGACGCCGGGCACGGCGACGAGCGGCGCGTTTGGCCGCCACGTCGCCGCGCCGAAGCTGCCGACGACCGCGAGCGCGTCGTCTTTCGTCCAGCAGGCGCCGCGGAAGGCGCCGCCGCCGGGCGCGTCGAGAGTCGCGGTCGCTTCGAGCGACGCGAGATCCAATACGTGCGTCTGCTTCGGCAGGACGATCGCGACGCGTTTCGAGCCCACCGCGACGGCGCGCGCGGCGGCGTCGCCGAGCGGCCGCGACGTCGTCGCCTTCGTCGTCATCCGCGTCCAGGCGCTCCCGGCGCGTTTTTCAAAGAGCCAGCGCTGGCAGACCTTGTCGCGGAAGGCCGCGACGACGAGCACGTCCGGGCCGGCGGCCGCCGCGCCGACGACGCACTTGCCGCCGGCGCCGTCGACCTCGACCGTCGCGACGACGCGGCCGCTATCGACGTCGACGACGTCGATCTTGCTGTCGTCGCGCGCGACGACGGCGAGCCGAAATGCGTCGCAGTAGGCGAGGGCGGTCGCGGGGCCCAGAGGTTTACCGGTCGTCGGAGCCGCTGTGGGTGTCGGCGCCGTGGGTGTTGTGGTTTGTTTGTGTAATTTTGCGTCGAGTGTGTTGATGGCCGCATCGATCGACTGCTTCTCGTTGAGGAGATCGAGGAGGTCCATATCGGTGTGGCTGTGCGTTGCGCAGCGATGCGCGCGGCGGCGGGCGAGCTGCTCTCCCAAGCTGTTCACAAAAATCAAGTTGACCAAGTTGAAGATTTCAATGTGGGGCTTATGAGGGGTGCTCAGCGCGGAGGCCTCGCCGTCGCGGTCGCGGCCGTCGCGCGCGGTGCCAGCGCTTCGCCCCGAACGCTCCTGCCGCGTCCGGCCCTCCCAGGCCGTCGTGGAGCGCCCTTTGCTCCGCCTATCGCCGCGCGGACGCGGCGTTCGCCGCCGTGTAAGTCGCTCAGGCTTCATAGTCTCCCGCTTCGCCTAAGTTGCCATTTTATAGACGCGCGGCGGCGCGCAGAGGAACATCGTCTCCCGCTTCTGGAACGCCTCCTCGCCCGTGCCGACGAGCTCGTGGAACTGGAGGCCGCGCTCCCGGTCGCAGCAGAGCGCGTGTGGCTCGTCCGCGGGAACAACAATGCGGTCGCCGGCGCCGAGGCGCTTCGTCCGCCGGCTCGCGGGCCCGTCCGGCCAGTTGCTGACCAGCACGGAGCCACCGCGGATCTCGAAGAGCTCGTCGATGTCGTGGCGGTGCGGTTGGAGCAGCTGACCGGGAGCATAGTCCATGACTCGCGCGGACCGGCCGTCGACGTCCACAAAGCACTGCACGAAGCCGTTCTCGAGGAAGGCAAAGTCCTCGCAGCCGCGTTGCGTGTTACAATGAATCCGTCGTAGCTCGACGTTCTCCGGCACGTCGTAGCCCGCGGCGATCATTCGCCGCCGCGCGTCGTCGGCTTCTTGGCCGGTGGCGCCGCCTACAAGCAGCAAATGAATCATCGCCTGCTGTATCGCGCAATATTATAAAAGTAAAGACGCTGGCACTCGCCCTGCTCCACCATCTTGTTGTCCTGTGCTCCTGCCACATGGCTCGACGAGAAGAGCTGCCCCATCGACGATTTTGGGAGTTCAGTTTCAGTTCAGGTATCTTTTCTAGTCATCATCGGGGCTGCCAGTTGCTTCTAGGCCGTGCTGTCGTGCTCTGCTGCGCCTGCGTCGCCCTCTACCCGACGGAGCCCGAGGTCTGGTTCGGCATACGGGCTCCGCGTCGGCGAGAAGAAGCGCGTCGTCGCGGCGTTCCCCGACTGCCTGCTCCTCGAGGACGACGTCGTCGTGCCCCTCGCGGACGAGACGAGCCGCTGGGAGTACTGCTCCGAGGTCGCGTCCCTGGATCGAGGAGACGAACGTCGACTGGGTTGACCAGCTCGAGAGTCTGAAGCATGGCGGCCATTTTCTACGGCGAAGAGTACGCCCGCAACCGCAGCGACCTCGTCGCCGGCGCCGAGGCGCAGCGCCGCCTGCTGCAAAGGCAGGGCCGCGGCCCGGCTCCTGCAGCACGGCGGGACACGTCGCGCTACGACCGCGCGCTCGAAGCGTCCGACGCGGCGATCCGGCAGCTCGAGCACGAGATCAAGCTCGAGACGGCGCGGCTCGCGGACCACCGGGCCGCCGAGGCGGCGCGCCGGCGGCTGCCGCGCCGACCGCAGAGCGTCGACGTTTCGACCGCGGCCGCGCCGGCCGACGACGCGGCCGCGTCCTGGGGCGAATGGTCGTGGGAGGGACCCGCGCGCGAGGCTGCCCTACACGCGCTCGACGTATCCCGGCGCGAGGCGTTGGTCAAGGACTGGCGGGAGGCGTCGGCGCGCAAGGTGCGCGAGGACGCGGAGTACCGCGAGGCGACGACGGAGCGCAACAGCCTCTTCGAGGCTCTCGGCTGGGTCGAGCTCGAGGACCAGCGCGCCGCCGCGAGCGCGGCCCTCGCGGCCGAGGTCCGCGCGGTCCAGCTGGCGAACGGTGTCCAGGCTCGACGCGACGCGGAGACGCAGCGGCACTGGAAGGTCGTCCGCGACGTCTTCGACGTGGCCAACGCGGTCGGCGTGTAAGGGTCTCGTTCGTGTGTGTTTACGCTCCCGGCGCGAGCGCGTTGTGAGGCCGAGGGCTCGGGGCGGCGTCCGTCCCCTCGCGAGCCGCCGGCCGAAGGACCGCGCGCCGCTCATCGCGGCAGCGTACGGGCGACGTGGCGCTCGAACATCTTGATGTCGTCGCGGTAGAGCGCCGCGGCCTCCTTGTTGAGCGGGTCGTCCGGGTTCGGCTCGTAGAAGAGGTAGATGAGGCCGTAGATGACGGCGTTGATGTCGAGCACGGGCTTCCTAAAATGGGGCGCTCTTGCGGCGCGCGCCCGCGCGGCGCGCGCTCTCGCGGCGGCGCGCGCTCTCGCGCCGCGCGCTCTCGTGGCGCCACGCGCTCTCGCGCCGCGCGCTCTCGCGCCGCGCTCTCTCGTGGCGAACTCTCGCGGCGCCGCGCTCTCTCGCGGCGCCGCGCGGTCTCGCGGCGCGCGCCCGTGCGGCGGACTCAGGCGAAGTACCAGTCCTGGCGCAGGATGTTCAGGCAGACGTTGCCCTCGAGGTTGATGTTCGGGTGGAAGATCTTCGTGTCGCAGTGGACCTTGGGCGGCTCGTGGGGGTACATGGCCGGGATGGAGAACGTGAAGTGGTAGGTCGCGCCCTTCCAGAAGCCCGTGTCCGGCGTAACGACAACGTGGAACTTGGTCAGGTCGTTCGCGTTAGGAAAGTTGATGACGGCCACGTCGCCGCCGTCGAGCTCCGCGATGTCTTTCTGGATGCGGATCTCGCCGGGCGTCTTGCGCTTCTTCGACCCGGTGCCCTTCGACATCTTCTTGCCCCTGCGTGCGCGCGCGGGTCACAGGTCTGTAGGCTCTCTGGACGAGGCGGTGTAAGCGCGCATGCGCAGGTCATAGGTCTGTAGGCTCTCTGGACGAGGCGGTAACGCATGAGTGGACGCCGCGCCGCGCCCGATTCCGAGGATGCTGACCTTCTCTTTCTCGCCCTCCGCGGGCGCCGCGTCGGGCATCGCCTGCGCGGCGGGGGTCAGGGCTCGTGGAGCGGGGCTCGAAGCGGGGAGCGGCGCGGGCGGAGCAGCTCTACCGCGGCGGCGGCGCGAACGTCGCGCGTGGGACGCACCTCATCCGCCTTGGCGGCGGTGGGCTCCGGAGCCGGTGTTGACTTTTTTTTCAGGCGAATCATGACGAAGTTGGCGGTGCGGGGCCTGCGACGGCGCGCGTGGTTTGCTTCGCGTTTAAATCTTGACCGATGAGCCGTAGAACCGGGCGCGCGGAGGAACTGAGACACGGGGATCGACTGGCTCGGGTTCGGGGCAGTGCGACGGGCAAGCTATGTAGAGCGCCCGGAGTCGAGAGGCGCTGTCGAAGCGCTGTCGACGAAGGCGCGGCAGACGACGGCCGGCGGCGGCGTCGAGCGCGACTCGACCTCAAGGTCGACTCGGTGACGAGGCATCTGGGGGCACAGTGCAGTGCCGGCGCCAGTGCGCGCGCCGATGGTCGTTTCCATGGTCCCAAACTCGTAGGCACCGGCAGGTACGTCTAAGGAAGGCCCCAGCAAAGTCTCACGCCCAACGGTGAGGGTGTTGCAGCGATCGGATGGCGTTCGTCCGATCCCTAGAGGAAATCCAGCCAAAACCGACACTTACGCGACGCCATGGGAGTCGTTTTCGGCGCTCTAAAGGGCCGCGCGCACGTCGGCATGACCATACGCGACGGCCCGGCCAAAAAGACCGCGCGACGGCAGCGTTTTCTCGTCGGCGAAAAAAACGCGTCTCGGGCACCGAAAACGACCCCGAAACCGTCGGCGTGTCGCGGGACGTCGACGGGTCCCAGGGTCGCGCGCTTTGCGTCGCAGGTGTTGTGGTAGACGAGGGCGGCCTCCGCAGCAGCCGGAGATCGTTGGAACCGCCGTCATCGATGCGAACTCACCCACCAGCGTCTCGCTGCGCGCCTTGAGCGCCAGTCCGCGGTCGAAATACGTGCGTCGGGACGATGTTCGACGTCGCGCCCCGTCCGTAGTACCTTCGTGGACCCTCCGAAGCGCTCGCAGCAGCCGCCGTAGTCGCGCGCGGCGCGGAAGGCGGTCCCGTCGACCGACCTCCACTGGTTTGCACTGCGGAGCGCACGGGCTCGTTTCGCGACGCGTTCGAGTTCCCGCGCGTCGATACGCTGCAGAGGCACTCTCAGTAGGGTCCTCTAGGCGCCTGTAAATTTGGGACCATGCATTCGCTCGAGGTCGCGCGCACGGGCTATCGCAAAGCGCTCCACTCGGCACTGTGCCCCCAGCTACGAGGCGTACATATCTGGTTGAACCAGCGGTGCAGAGCAGAGAGACAAATCTGAAGCACGCCGGCAGCCCCGCGCGAAGGCACCGTCCCACACCCATGGAGGCGTTTGAACGCGAGTGCGGCAAGATGCCGCACGAGTACGTGCGGGACCGCATTTTCAGTATATCGGCGACGACCTCGACGAATCGACCCGAGGCCTGCCAGTGGCGGAGATGCCGTACGAGTTTGAGACGGAGGATCCCATGGCGCTGGCCGGGAAGTCGCTCCGGGAGGTGATCGCCCTGGCGATGCCCTCCCTTTTGGAGGACGTGCCCGCGCCGGGCGCGCACGAGTCCGACGCGTTCGCCATCCTCCTGTCAGAGGTCCGCCCGAAGGGCGACGCTCGCAACACGCTGGCCCACGCGGTCGCGCAGGTCCCCGAGGACTGCCACCCGAACATGAAGCAGAACCTGCGGCACGTCCTCCTCATGGGCCTCGTGAAGATGTGGGAGCCCGAGTTCGCCGAGTACAAGGCGAACTGGAACCGCAAGTGCACGGAAGCCACCGATGGCCGCGCCGCCGCACTCAAGGAGATGCTGAAGTCTGCACTTGACGCGCAGCTCGAGCAGACCGACGAGCTGTCCGACGAGTACGCCTACGTCGCGCGTCTGGCGCGGGACGGTTTCCTCTGAGCGACGCCGTCCCAGGACTACGACGCCCCCCCGCCCCCCTCGCCGCGCTCTCCCTGAGCGACGACGTCGAGATGGCGGACTACTGAACGACCGCGCCGCCCCGAACCCGCCGCGCCGCCGAGCTCGAGTAGTTAACGCGCGCGGACGGTACGACGCGTGCGGGGAAGCGCCGAGGCCGCGTACGGCACGTCGGCGACGCGTCCGAGTCGGCGACGCGTCGAGGGGCGTCCAACGACGTCCGACGGCTCCTCAAGATTACACAGCAGCGCCGGCGAACGCGTCCGCGTCGGTCCCCGCGTCGGGGTGCCGCGGCGAGAAGATCTTCGGCAGGAACGAGCCGCCGCCCCGCGGCGAGAAGATCTTCGGCAGGAACGAGCCGCCGCCCCGCGGCGAGAGCATCCTCCGCAGGCGCGACGGCTGCGGCGGTTGGATCGCCGGCGGCTGGGACGCGCCGGCGCTGCTCCGCACGCTCGACGCCGAAGACCGGCTCGAGGCCCGCCGGTCGCGCTTGAGGAGCCCGTCGGGGATCGTCGAGCTCGCGCGCGCCGAGAGCCGGACGCGGTACCGCGCCATGGCCCGGTCGATGGCCCGGCGGAGCTCGACCTGGTCCTCGACGCTCAGCGGCGGCGCCTTGCCCGCGACGGCGTCGTCGTCCTTCGCGTCCTCGGCGCTCGCCCCGGCCTGGTCGCGGTTCCGTCGTCGCAGCTTCCGCAGGATCTCGAGGTTCGTCTCCTGCTCCTCGACGGTCATGATGTCCTGGCTCGACTCCGCGGACGCCTTGCGCGCCTTGGCCCAGGGCGCGTCGACGAACTCGATGGCCGCGTCCGGGTCGTCGACGCCGACCGCGGCGAGCGGCTTCGCCGGGTCGACGCCCCGGGCCGCGAGCCGCCGCCGCGCGAGCTCCTTGAGCTTCAGGTTCCGCAGGAGCCGCGCGTAGAAGAGGTAGAGCACGTCGAGCAGCGACAGCAGCAGGCAGAGCAGCGCGCCGAACTCGCCTGGAATAGGGTGTCGCTGCAATATGGGTGTTCCGCGCGCGCGCGTTCCAGGAAAGACATCGACGCGTCGAGGCCGCTCCGAGCTAGGAGCCTTTGAAGTTGGGAATTTCGCATCCTTCCCTGGAACTCGCCCGCTCCGAGAGATGATCGCTCGTCCAAAAATCAGCCAAAAACGACCGAGCTAGGAGCCTTTGCACGCTTTTCCTGCCCCGGAACTCGCCCGCGACGCCCTCCGTCGCGACGTAGTACGTCGCCGTGAGGAGCTCCGTGCCGTCGCGGACGACCATGGCGTAGAAGGACCGCCGCGCCGACGCCTCCGACGGCCAGCCGTCCGCGAGCGTCGCGACGTCCGCGGCCTCGAATTTCCAGGGCAGGATCGGCAGCAGCTCCGGGTTGACCGTCGCGAGCGCGCGGATCACCCGGACGAGCCGGGGCCCGAGCGCCGCGATCTTCGCCTCGTCGAGGCGGTAGGCGCCGCGGAGCTCGCGCGAGAGCCGCCGCGAGAGCAGCGCCGCGACGCCAAAGCCCGCGGCGTTCGCGGACGCGAGGACGTAGGCGCCGCTGGCCCAGAGCTCGATGCCGAAGACGAGGACGGACGTCAAGTCCACCGTCGCGAGGAAGACGACGGCCTTGGGGCTCTCGACGACGTGCCCCGCGACGATGGACGACGCCTCGAGCCACGTGAAGAGCGCGCCGGCGACGACGAGGCCCGCGGCCCAGATCACGGAGAAGGCCACGGACCGGTCCTCGTCCTTCGACAGGCCGACGAAGGCCTCGAGCGACACCGCGGTCGGCCGCGGCGTCGGCGCGGGCGCGGCCCGCGGCGACGACGGCGCGGCGCTCCGAGCGGCGCTCCCATGGGGCGCGGCGCTGGGCGTGGCCGTCGGCGTCGACGACGGCGACGCGCTCGGCGACGCGGACGGCGACGCGGACGGCGTCGACGACGGCGCGGCGGAGGGCGTCGAGGACGGCGCGGCGGATGGCGCGGCGCTCGGCAGGAACGACGGCGCGGCGGACGGCCGCGGCGCGCCGTCGCCGCTCGACGGCGCCACGCAGCACGTGGTCGAGAACGTGTCTCCCCAGTATTGGCCCACCGCGGCGCACCCGTCGCCTTTTAAAATGTCCGAATATTCGTAGCCCTCGACACAGCCGGGTGTCGTGAGATCGCCTCCGGTGCAGCAATCCGCGTCGGCGGACTCCATGCCGTAAAAGGTTTCCAGGCACGCATCGGCGTCGAAGACGCAGTAGTCCACTTCATCGGCTTGCGCTCCTAGCAAAGCTACGGTTGCGATGATCCAAATGAACATGTCGTCGGGCTGCCCCCGTCCGCGTCAACATCGATCACCTCACTTCGTCACCTTTGGCGAATTGCGGCACATGCTCGCAAAGCTCCTCGGCCTCTGCTTCCTCCGCCAGCTCGAGGCCAGCGAGTTCCCAAGCCTGTCCGGCCATCCGACAGCCACGATGAGTTCGAAGAAGATCGGTCTGCACGCGCGCGCCCGGCGTCAGAGCTCCGCGCGCGTCCGAGAACCCGATTGGCAGCCAAACCGCCGCGAGAGGATTGTACCCCCTCGCCCATCATCGCCACGCGGGTCCGCGCGCCGCTACAACGGCCCGCCGCGACCCGCGGCGGCGATGATGCCGAACGGCTCGGCGCCCCGCCGACGGGCCGGGGCGCGCGACACCGCAACCGCGCGCGCGCGGAAAAAGAGGATTCAAACCTCCGAACAAACAAAACTCTAGGTCTGCGGCTGGACGGGCTGCAAGTTCACGCGGCGCGCCGTGGACATGGCGAACACGCTGAGCGTGCTCTACCCCACGCAGTACGAGGCGACGCCCCACCTCACGGAGACGCGCGACCAGTACCGCGAGCTCCTGCCGCAGTACCGGTCGGCCGTGCCCGACGACGAGGCGGCGCAGAAGCACACGTCGGCGCCCTTCGTCTACAGCGAGGAGGGCGGCGCGACGACCTTCGTCGGCGGCTGCGACGCCGCCGTCGACTGGGCGCGCGCGCGCCTCGCGCCGTCCGCGGCGGCCGCGGCGGCGTCGTCGATGGTCGACGACGGCTTCACGAAGGAGCACGGCTTCGACTACGACGTCGTCGTCGTCGGCGGCGGCTCCGGCGGCCTCGCCTGCTCCAAGGAGTGCGCGAAGCTCGGCGCCAAGGTCGCCGTGCTCGACTTCGTGAAGCCGTCGCCGGCGGGGTCGACGTGGGGCCTCGGCGGCACGTGCGTCAACGTCGGCTGCATCCCGAAGAAGCTCATGCACACGGCGTCCATCATCGGCGAGACGCTCAAGGACGACGCCGCCGCCTTCGGGTGGAAGGACGCCGCCGCGGGCGCGCACGACTGGGAGTCGATGAAGTCGACGGTGCAGGACCACATCAAGTCGCTCAACTTCAAGTACCGCGTCGCGCTCCGCGAGGCGGGCATCACCTACCTGAACCGCCTCGGCGAGTTCGAGGACAAGAACACCATCTCCCTCACGGACAAGAAGGGCAACAAGACGTCCGTCACGGCCGCGCGGTTCATCGTCGCCGTCGGCGGCCGCCCGAACAAGCTCGGCTGCCCCGGCGGCGAGCACGCCATCGACAGCGACGACCTGTTCTCCCTGCCCAAGGCGCCGGGCCGCGTGCTCTGCGTCGGCGGCGGCTACATCGCGCTCGAGTGCGGCGGCTTCACGGCCGGCATGGGCTACCCGACGACGTGCATGGTCCGGTCCATCCTCCTCCGCGGCTTCGACCGCGAGTGCGTCGGCAAGATCGAGGCCCACATCAAGCACCACGGCGTCCAGCTCCAGGTCGGCGTCACGCCCGCGAAGATCGAGAAGGACGCGGCGACGGGCGTCCTCACGGTCACGGACTCCGGCGGCGGCGTCCACGAGTACGACACGGTGCTCGTCGCGACGGGCCGCTACGCGGACACGGCGGCCCTCGGCATCGACAACGTGCCCGGCGCGTCGGCGAACGTGAACGCGAAGACGAAGAAGCTCGAGTGCGTCGACGAGCAGCTGCCCGGCGCGCCGCACGTCTACGCGATCGGCGACGTCGTCGAGGGCCGGCCCGAGCTCACGCCCGTCGCCATCGAGGCGGGCCTGCGCCTCGCGCGGCGCCTCTTCGGCGGCAAGACCGAGCCCATGGACTACGAGTGCGTCGCGACGACGATCTTCACGCCGCTCGAGTACGGCACGATCGGGCTGAGCGAGGACGACGCCAAGGCCCAGCTCGGCGAGTGCAACGTCGAGTCCTACATCAGCGAGTTCGCGCCCCTCGAGTACGCCCTCAGCGAGACGCGCAGCGAGCGCGGCGACGGCTGCTTCGCCAAGCTCGTCGTCGACAAGAGCACGGGCAAGGTCGTCGGCTTCCACTACCTCGGCCCCAACGCCGGCGAGATCACCCAGGGCTTCTCCATCGCCATGCGCAAGGGCGCGACCTACGCCGACTTCATCTCCACCGTCGGCATCCACCCGACGGTCGCCGAGGAGTTCACGTCCATGACCGTGACCAAGTCGAGCGGCGAGTCCGCAGCCAAGGGCGGCTGCTGAGGCTAGGGACCGCGCCGGACGCCCGGGCTCTCTCTGACGAGGGCCCGGGCTCCGGCGCGCCGCGCGGCCTCGCTTCTGGCGAGGCCGCGCCCGCCGCCGCGAGACGGGATGCACCATGACGGCGCGGAGCTTCGAACACGTTGGAACTCCGCGCCCGAGCCGCCCCGTCGACCCCCTCTCCCCCTCCCCCCTTTTCGTAACACACTCCCAAGGGCGCGCCTGCTCCTTACGGCAGCGAGTTCGCCATCTTGACGAGCTCGGAGCTCGTCGTGATGTCGTCCTCGGAGTAGTGCGTCGAGTCGTTGAGCGGCACCGTCGTGCAGACCTTTATGTGGTTCGCGACGGTCTCCATGCGCGACATGACGCGGATGAGCTCGCCGTTGCCGCAGCGCATGAAGACGACGAGGGGGATCGCCTTCTTGTGCTCGCGCTCGAAGGACCGGTGCGCGGCGACGCGGTCCTTGTCGTCGGGCGCGACCAAGTCGACGAACTTGACGCCGCTGAGCTGGCTCGACTCGTAGCCGAGCTGGTGCATGAAGTGGTCCGACGCGGCGACGACGCGCTCGTCGTCGTCGATGCCGTGGATCGAGTGCATGACGTCCTGCATCATGCGGCTCACGATGTCCTCGCGGCGCGAGAAGTTGTCCAAGACGTCGACGTGCTCGGCCCACTCGACGGACTGGCTCACGGACTGGGACGACCGGCGCCGCTCGCGGCGCGGCGTGCTGTTGAGCGGCGGCGCGCGCGACGGCTCCGGGTGGCGCCGCGCGGCCGCCGCGGCCGCGGCCGCCGCGCTCGGGTGCCGCGCGTCCGCGCGCGCGGCCGGCGCGGCCGCGGCCGGCGTCACGTCGACGAGGTGGATGATGATGCAGTCGAAGGCGACGTAGCCGCGCGTGGAGAAGCGCCGCCGCCGGTCGCGCGCCGTGAACACGAAGTTCTCGAAGGGCGCGGACTCCGTCGACTTGACGAGCTGGATGAAGGCCTTGACGGAGTCGGCCGTGAAGAACTCGGCGATGCGCCGGTCCACGCTCACGTCCGGGCAGAGCGCGCCGAAGGCCGTGTTGAACATGCGCAGGCTCTGCGTCGCGACGTCGACGACGCCGACGGGGTTGTGGCACGACTGGAGCGTGCAGACGAAGACGTCGCGGAGGTGCCGGTGTTCGTGTCAGGTCGCCACCGTGGAAAGGCGGCCTGTTCGCACCTGCTGCGCGAGCTCGGCCTCGCGGGCCTGGGCCGGCTGCGGCGCGGCCGGCGCGGCCGCGCGCGGCGCCGCGGCCGCCGGGTGCACCGCGGCCTGCTGGAGCGTCGCGGGCTGGGCGATCTGCTGGAGGTGCACGGGCTGGGGCTGCCCCGCGCCGAGCGCCGCGACGCGCGGCTGCGCGTAGGGCGTGCCCTCGAGCGGCGCGACCTGCGGAGGAGCCCGAGGTCGCGCGCGGCGCCGCCGCGGCCGGCGAGCGCTTCCCGGCGCGCTCCTCGGCCGGCGAGCGCTTCTCGACGCTCGCGCGCATCTCGGCCGCCGTGCGGCGGGGCGCGCGCTTCTCCCCGCGCGCGCGCGCCGAGGGCCGACCGCGACAGCCGCTTGGACGCCGCGGCGCGACGAGCGACGGCGCGTGCTGCTGGAGCATGGCCTGGTGCTGCTGGAGCTGCTGCTGTTGCAGCAGGGCGGCGTGGTTCCTGCGCGCGGCGCGATGAGCTTTGGGAGCTGGCGACGCGCTCACCTCGCGACGTAGCTCGTGTTGACCGTCGTCGCCGGGTACTGGTGGGGGGCCGGCGGCGGGTATTGGCCCGGCGCCGCGTAGAAGTACTGCTGCGCCGCGCCGCCGTCGCTGAGCGGCGGCAAATGCGTCTGTTGCTGGTGCGCGAGCTGGTTCGGGCTCTGCGTCGCGACCGTCGAGTTCGCCTACGCGTCAAAGACGTTTCGGCGCGGCTTTTGCGATCGCCGACCCTGGCATGCGCACGTCGTAGCTGCAAACGACGCGCGCATTGATGCAGTTCTCGCACGGGTGATACTGATCGCAGGGCGTCGAGCCGCCACGCCGGTATCGCGCGCACCTTACGCATCGGCGCCCTTTGAAGGTCCGGTGCGGCGGCACGAAGCAAGGCGGCTGCTGATTCATCATGACGGCAAAAGGCGCAATGGGCAATGGGCAGCTCCGAGAGGCACACGCGCGCGCGCTAACGTTCCGTCGCCCGCGCGCGCCGCGCCGCGGCCGCCGCGAGCCGCCGTGAGCCGCTGCCCGGAATCGAGGATCGCTCGGCCACGACGCCGGGCTGCGACTGGTACTGCGTCAACGTGTCCAACGCGGAGACGGGCTGCTCCTTCGAGATGTGCGACGCGCCGCCGTCGACGAGGCACGCGTACCCGCACCACCAGGACGACACGGCGACGCTCTTCACGCGATGCGCCGTCGAGAGACGCTACGAGGGCTGCCAAGCCAAGAGCGCACCAACTCCGCCGCGCGACGATCTGCGCGCACTGCATTCATCATGAACGACAACTAAAACGCAACGGCCCTCGAGCTCGCAAGCTACGGGTCCGGCCTGAGACCGGCCCGCGAACCCGCGCCTGCCACTGTTCGGTCGTATTTGCGGACCGCTGCGGTTTCTTACCCTGGCGCGGGCTCGCGAGTGCGCGAGGCGCTCGTGAAAGAGCCCACGGCGACTCGGACCTGCCGCGGCGCACGCCCGAGTCGGACCACGACGCCGTCTGGGCGGCGTTCCCGGCGTTCCCGGCGACGCGCACACGTCACACATACATGTTAATTCTAGCCGTACGCGTCGAGCGCCTGCATGAAGTTCGCGCGCGTCACGTTCCGCAGGGACAGCTTGCGCGTGTCGTCGCCGGCTTCGAGGTCGTCCTCACCGTAGCGCGTCCGCTGGAGCCGCGCGAACTTGTGCAGGTCGCCCATGGCGACGAGGTAGAGGCACGAGTCGACGGCGGGCTCGAGCACCGCGGGCGCGAAGTTGCCCGCGGCGAACTCCTTGTGGATGTGGAAGCGGATCGCCGCCGCGTTCTCGCCGAGGTTCACGCTGCGCTTCGCACCGTCGACGAGGTACGTGTCGTAGAGGCGGAAGGCCCAGACGCGCTTCTCCTCGTTGGAGGACTTGCGGTCGCGGCTCGCGAAGGCGCGGAACCTACCGGGTGCGTCGGTAACGATTTCTCGACAATTGTCACGGCCGCGGGACGCTGCGCAGGACTCTCTGAAGAAGTCGACGAGCTCCTCGGCGTGCTTCGACTTGAGGTAGGCGTGGAAGTCCCCCCCATCGTCGCCGTGGTCGAGGATGTCGTAGAGCGTCTGTACCATCTCGCGCGAGTTGCTCCCGAGCGATTTCAGCGACGGTCTCCGGTTCCGGTCGTCGTCGAAGGACCGCGACCTGCGGCTCGCCCGCGGCTCCTCGTCGGGCAGCGACACGCGCCGCGGAGCCTGGGCCTCGGGCGCCGCGGCCGCGGACACGGGCGGCGGCGCGGCGTCGTCCCGCTCGCCCGCGGCCGGCGCGGGCGCCGGGAATGCGGCGTCGGGCTCGACGAAGACCTGGCTCTGCGACCGGGCCGACGACCGCCGCCGCCCAAGGAAGAAGTCGAAGAGGGGCTCGAGCAGCGACTTGCGCCGCGGTGGCGGCGTCGACGGGTCGCTCATGGTTTGGCGCCGCGCGGGCGGCGGTCGGCCCCAGCGCGGTCCGGTGGCGCGGCGGGAAGCCCAAAACCGGATGGGGCCGCGGATGGGTTATATGAACGTACGCCGGCCTAGCTGCTCCCCATAGCTGCCGTCTGCCTGAACGCAGATACAATTAATACAGTGGGATTTCTCTATAACCCAGCGCCGGGGTCGAGTTTTCTTAATACCGCCGCGCCGCACGCCCCCCTCGGCGAATGTCCCGGGAGGGTGCGCTGGACGCGTCTCGGCGAGCCGCGACGGATGGTTGCGGGCTGGAGCTCTGCGGACTCGATGGCGACGCGCGGCGAGGTGTCGAAGGTCGCATTTTCTTAATACACGCCGGGACCAAAGAACCGCTCTGCGAATGTCCCCAGGAGGTGTTCCTTTAGCGACTCTTCTGTCTCCGAGACGTGGCGCGCCTCTGGGGACGCCGTGCCGCGGTCTGGGTTCAAGCGGAAGAACCGAAGATTGTTGAATGTTCAATCAAACCCACAGAGATTCTTTCTTCTCTCCGAGCGAGTGCGTAACCGCCTGGGGGCGCCACAGACTTTAGCAGGTCGGCCGCAGACTTTAGCGTCTCGCAGCACTAAGTGAGCACTCAGAGTCATATCACTCAGTCAGGTTGTGGCACCGCTTGTTCGAATGCCTTCAGCATGTCGTGGGACGGCTGTGCGCGCGAGGAATTCGCGCGCGACATTGTCTGCGCGTCGTCCTAAGCCTTCAAAGACGCGCATGATATGATCCCCGAAACTGAGCGTGTATGAGGGGGTTGCGGGTGGGGCGAAGGTGTGCGCGCGCCCTCCCAAGGGTATGCAACGCGCTCGTCGGCCACGTGCGCTCGTGCGCCTCTCGAGATTTGAACGCGCGCGCGTCCGTCGAAAACGCAGCGGTGCACGCGTCTGCGGTTCCAGCATCGTTTGTAGACTATATTAGGCCGTGCGGAGCGCTTCTACTCTCTCTGGGAGCGCTCATAGACCGCAGATCCAGTGATCGTTCGCTCGCGCCTTTGTGCCGCGTGCGCAAGGCGGATCCCAGCGCATCCTGCTCGGCATTATTTCCTACCGGACTCGGATGTAATATATTCGTCGCACGCATCACTAATTTGCAGCATCTCGCGTCCTGTGGGCTGGCCACGGCGCTGTCGCAGCGCTCGGCGCCAAAGTCTGCGGCGCAGTGATCTTGTGTCCGTAAAGTCTGTGGCGACCCCGGGCGGAGTGCGTAACATCGTCGCCCGCCTGAGGCAGCGCCCCCGCCCGCGGGGCTCGGCCATGGCCGACGCCGACGAGCCGATGCTCGCGGCAGAGGCGAAGGACGACGAGCCGACGCCCGCGGCGGCGGAGGCGAAGGAGACCGAGCCGCCGTCGCCGAAGCGGCGGAAGCGGCGAAACGCGGCAGAGCTGCTCGGCAACGAGTCGGCGCAGGACGCCTGGCGTCGCGGCGCTACCACGTCGCGCAGGGCACGGAGCGGCTCGCCTGCCGCGCCCGCGCCGGCCCCGACGGGGGCCCCGGCGGACGGACCGCGACCTCCAGTGGGTCGAGCAGTACTGGAACGACGCGAAGCGGAAGACGCGCGAGCTCTGCGACTACACCATCACGGGGCTCAAGCGCCAGTTCCCGCTGTCCCTCGCGTCCGTGCCCATCTCGAACCAGCGCAACTACATGCAGCGCTCCTTGGACATCATGCGCGCCCTCCGGGAGATCGGCCGCGACGGCGACTTCGCGAAGATCCCCGCGCTGAAGAAGCAGTACAAGTCGCACCGCCAGACCAGCGGCCTCGCCCCGCAGGCCGCGCCACGCGCGGGCCGCACCGTGACGCGCGCCCGCCGCATCACATATGCCCGAGACGCCGCGAACAACCCCGCGGCCGCGGCCCGCGCGGCCGACTAGGACGCCGACGCACTCGGTGGCGCTACCCATAAATGTTTGTCGTTTCCGACGAGCCGGTGCGTTAGGCCGTCCGGCGGTAAAAAAAGCGGTACAATCGGCGCCGATCGACGACCCCTCTGGCGTCGATTGACGGCAAGGTGCTATAGAGAAATCCCACTGTAAATCGCGTTTTTCACGTTGCGTTGACGACATATCCGAGTCGATGAAGCTACGCAACGGCCCTAGCGCCGCGGCGCGTCGACGCCGAGTGTGCGTGCCTCCGGCAAGTAAAGACCACGCCTCTCTCTCCTTCGAAGAGAGTGGTGGGGATCTGGCTACTAGTAGAAGAAGGTAAGCTAGGTGGGGACCGGTCTTCACATGCCAGCGCGCGCCGTAAATATCACGAACATATCCCGCCGGCGGGATAGGTTAAACGCCGCTTCAACCTGCAAACGCCGCCCAAACGGCGTCGTGGTCCGACTCGGGCGTGCGCAGGTAGCCCGCGGCGACGGGCCGCGCGGTCGCGGCGATGACGTCGTAGCGCCGCGGCGCGTCGACGCCGAGCGCGCCGAGCGCGCGCGCGAGCCGGTGGCCGACGCCGGCCTCCGTCGTCCGCGCGAACCAGTGCGTGTCCGCCGGCGCGGCCGCGTGCGCGTCCTCGGCGCCGAGCGCTCGGAGCGGCGCGAGGACGTCGTCGAGCGCGGCCGCGTGCGCGGCGCGCGACGCCGCGAAGCAGTTCGTGTCGCCCGCCGCGAGGACGCGGCCGCCGCCGACGGCGGCGGCGGCGACGGCGGCCTGGCGCGCGCGGTGCGCGTTGTCGCCCGCCGCGTCGAGGTGCACGTTGACGACGGCGAGCGGCGGGCCGCCGTCCCGGGGCGCGAGCGACGTCGTCTGCGCGTACTTTTGCTCCGGCGCGCCGCCGCGGATGTAGGTGCGCTCCAGGGGCGACAGCGCGTCGAGCACGGGCAGCGCGACGCCCGCGCCGCGCCGCACGCGCCAGCGCCGCGCGTCGACGACAGTCGCTAGCCGCGGGTCCTCGGCGCACCGCGCGACGGCCCATCGTTGGCCGCCGCCGGCGCGCGCGAGCGCGTGGGCGATGCGGTCCGCCGCGTCGAGCGCGCCGAAGCGCGCGTTCTCCTGCACGCAGAAGAGGCCCAGGCCGCCGAAGCGCTCGAGGCGGCGCGCCTGCCGCGCGTAGCGCGGCAGGAGCCGGTCGATATGCAGGCCGTCCATGATGTTGTGCGACAGGACGGCGTAGCGCATGGCTGCGATGGGGGTGATGAGCAGTAAGCTACGCATCGCGCATGGCTCTTCGCGCGTGGCGCAAAGACGCGAGAGCGTTTCGCAAGCACGCAAGAGCTGCTGGCACCATAGCCAGCTAGCGGAGGCTAAAGATGAACAAGAAGTTGAACCATCCGTCATTCAAGGAAGCAGCCCGCTTATCTCTTGCCGGTTGACGGCGCGCTCAAACAGACGCCTCGCCTGCGAGCGCAGAAGGGGATGGCGCAGCCCGAGGCGGCCCTCGCCGCGGCGCTCGCGAAGATCAACAAGACCGCGACGCCGCAGGACCTCAAGACGTCGGGCCCGCGGCTCCGGGCCCTCCTCGCCGACGTGCTGCAGGAGATCGACGGCTCCGTCTCCGGCGACGTCGACGACCAGATCGCGCTCCTGCGCGTCCTCGGCCTCGACCCGACGCCGGACCTGCGCGACCAGCTCCTCGCGGGCGACCGCCGCGCCGCGCTGCCGCTGCTGGAGTTCTGCACCGCGAACGTGCAGACGCACAAGAAGCGCGTCTACGACGCGCGCTTCTCGCTGTCCGTGCGCGTGCTCGCGGAGCGCGCGGCGCCGCGCAGCGACTCCGCGGCGGCCTGGGCGGCCGCGCGGGACGCGTGGGCCCCGCCGGCGCCGCCGAAGCCGCCCGCGGCCGCGCCGCTCTTCGAGCGCGCGCTCGAGGTCGGCGTCCCCGAGACCTGGGACCTCGACAAGCTCGCGGCCCTCGCGAAGATCGACGGCAAGGAGACGGCGGCGCACCCGCGGCGCACGATGTCGCAGCGCTGGAAGGCGTCCGCGCGGCGCCTCGCGGCGAAGATGCTCAAGCGCACGGGCGGGACGCGGCGTCCCGCGGCCGCGACGATGTTCGAGAGATTCGGGGTGGAAAAATCGTCACCGTCGTGCGTGGTAGGCAAGAAGCCGGCGACGGACAAGGAGGCGCCGCCGAAGGACTGCCTCCACGCGACGGAGCCCGGCGCCGTGACGCCCCAGCTGCTCTGGAGCTACCCGCGGCGCGAGCCCGGCGAGCTCGCGGGCGAGGTGCTGCCCTTCTGCTTCCCCAACGGCGTCCGCGTCGAGCGGTCCAAGCCCGACGGCGACGACGACGCCTTCGTCTTCCAGCTCTCCCTGCCCGACGACGGCCCCGCGGCGGCGGCCGCCGCGGGCCAGTCGCAGTCGCTCGTCTACGGCGTCTGCGTCGTCGAGTGGGCGTCGCGCGCCACGGCGTCGGGCTCCTTCGCCGTGCCGCGCGCGACGTGCCTCCTCACGCGGCTCCCGCTCCTCGACCTCCACGCGGCCGTGCTCCGCGACGCGCTGGCCGTCGCGCGCCGTTCGCGGGACCGCCACCTCGCGCTCCGCCGCGTCTTCGGCCGCTACGCGGCCGTCGAGGCGCCGAAGCCGGGCATGCCCGCGGCCTTCGCCGCGGACCCGGCCGCGGAGCCGCGCCGCGGCGTGCGGCCCGCGGCGACGACGGGCCTCGACTTCCTCCGGGGCGCGCGGCCCGTGGACCTGCCGGACGCCGTCGCGCCGCACATGGCGTGGACGGCCGCGGAGTACGCGGCCGTCGACGCGACGGCGCACTGGGCCGTGCCCCGGCTGCTGCGGCTGCTGCCGCTCCACACGCTGCTGCGCGCGCTCGCGGGCGCGCTCTGCGAGATGCAGGTCGTCGTCATCTCGCGCGACCCGGCGCGGGGCGCGGCCGCGGTGCTCGGCCTCGCGGCGCTCGCGCGGCCCCTGCTCTGGGTCGGCCCCCTCGTGCCCGTGCTCCCGGCCCAGCTCCACGCGCTCCTCGAGGCGCCCGTGCCCTTCCTCGTGGGCGCGCCGCGGACGGAGACGTGGGCGCGGTGCATCGCGGAGCGGTTGCCGAAGCCGGGCTTCTTCGTCCTCGACGCCGACGACGGGGGCCTCTGCTTCCACCCCCACGACGCGGACCTGCTGGAGCTGCCCCACGCGGACGCGCTCGCGGACGCGCTCGCGCCGCTCGTCGAGGCCGCGCGCGGCGCGGACGCGCCGGACGCGCCGCGCGCGCGCGACGCCGCGGGCCACGCGGCGCGCGTCGTCTGCCGCCACGTCGCCAAGCTCGCGACGGTCGCCCTCAAGTTCGAGTCGACCCAGGCCGCGAACCCCGCGCGGCGGAGCCGCCTCGCCGAGTCGGTCCGCGGCCGCGAGTCCGTCGAGTTCGCGAACCTGATGCGCGAGGAGTTCGACGACGGCGACGACGAGGACGCGGCGGAGCCCCCCCCGGCGGGCCGGCGCGGCGGGAGCGTCGAGTGCTCGCGGTCGCTCGTCCGCGGCGGCTTCCTCGAGGCGGGCGACCCGCGCGCGTCCGCGCTCTGGGCGCGGCGGTCGACGAACCTGCGCCTCGACGAGTCCATCGCCCGCGACCCCATGCGCCGCGTCTTCTTCGAGCGCGTCGCCGAGTCCCAGGCCTACGCCGTCTACCGCGAGTCGTTCCCCACCTTCGCGGGCTTCGGCGTCGGCGCGGACCGGCCCGCGGCGGGCTTCGGCGTCGGCGCGGACCGGCCCGCGCCGGCGCCGAAGCGCGACGCCGGCGAGTCGCCGACGTCCGTCGACGACGACCCGCTCCTCGCGACCGTGAGCTGGCGGCCCCCGTCGCCCACGGACCTGCCCGACGCGATCGACGCGACGCCGCTCCACCGCCCGCGCGCGTCCATCTCGCCCCAGCGCTCCAAGTCGCCCCACACCTTCGCCGCGCCCGCCGCCGACGACGACGCCTCCGCCTTCCAGCTCGACGACCCCTCCGTCATCACGGAGCTCGGCTTCGAGGGGCAACTTGAGGGGCAACGTTGAACCGGCTTGACTATCTGGCTTGACTTCGACTCAGCTCCGCGATCTGCCGAGTCGTCCTCGTGTCCTGCGACGGCATCAAGAGGCCAGGGCACGCGATAAATCGCTGTCTCGGCTCTCGCTGCTCTACCAAGGTGAGCGACGCGCTGCTCTCCTCCTCCCGCGACGCGCGCGACGCTGACGGTGTGCGGGGATTTGCGGCGACGTGAAAGATGACGGCGGGGCTGCTTTCGCGTGTGTGCCGCGTTTCGGGACGCGGCCGCGCGGAGACTGCTCTCCGTCGCGGTCGCGCCCGGCGACGGCGCGCGCGGTCGGCAGCTGCGGACGGGACCGCCGCGCGGTGCTCCACGGTCCCGACTCGTGGCTGTGGACATCGTGCGGGCAACCGCGCCGTCGCTGCGGCCCCGGCCGGCGGGCTCCGCGCCGAGCGAAGCGCCGGGCTCGGCCTCAGCGCCGCCGTCGCCGTCACTCTGTCGCCGTCGCCCCCCGCCGTCGCGGCCTCGCCCCCCGCCGCCGCCGTCACCGTCGCCGCCCCCGCCGCCCCCGCCGCACCCCCATTTCCCGCACGCCCCGAGGACGCGCGACGTCGACGCCCTCGCTCCTTAGGTTCACCATCTGGTCGGCGGAGAGCTCGCAGGCGGCGGAGGTCGCGGAGTCGCCTCCGGGGGACGCCGCGGAGTCCTAGGCGAGCATGTCCGTGCTCAAGGTCCTCTTTGCCGCGCTATGCGTCGCGACGGCTTCAGCGCTGCGGCCGCAGCGCCTGCAAACGCCGCAGCGCGAGCCCAGCGCGCCGCAGCGGGCCAACGCCGCGCCGCAAACGCTCGAGGTCGTCGCGAAGCAGTGCCTGAAGACCGCGTGCGCGTGCCTGGCCGCGGTGAACATCGTCGCGCTCCCGTCGGCGGCGCTGGCGACGCCCGCTACTGATGGCCGCGCGCTCGTCGAAGAAACGGTGGACCTGCTCGAAAAGTATTATTATGACGGTGCTGCGAGGCGACGGCCCGAGTGGCTCGCGGCACGCGAGACGTTCGGCGCGGCCGCGGAGAAGAATCCGGGCTCGGCCTTAAGGTTTCGAGGCGAGGCGCTCAAGGCGCTCGGCGCCGACAAGTACACGCGGCTCCTGGACCCGGCGGGCTACGCCGCCGTTGCGCGCTTCGACATCCTCGGCGTCGGGCTGATCCTGTCGCCAGGGGCAGACGGCCGCGCCAAGGTCGTGTCGCCGCTCGGTGTGCAAATCAAATCTTCAATCCGACTTCAATGTGCGCGTATGCGAATGCTTTGACACGAGCACTTCCGCCGTGCTTCGAGACTTCGCTGAGAGCAATCGATTCGTCCAAAAATCAGCCGAATCGACTTCGATTTGACCGAGCTAGAGAATTCTGAAGTTTGGCCCCGACGTCCCAGCTCACTGGTTGATTTGCACACAGGTCGCCGCCCCTGCCGGGCTCGTCGGCGGCCAAGAGCGGCGCCGTCAAGCAGGGCGACATCGTCGACACGCTCAACGGCGTCAAGACGGCGGGCCTGAGCTCCTTCGAGCTGCTCGAGGTCATCGACAAGAGCGAGGACAAGAAGGTCGCGACGTTCGGCGTCGTGTCCGACGGCGACGCGGCGCCGCGGCCCCTCGCGCTGAAGCGCGACATCCCGGACATCGCGGACCCGATCGGCCGGACGCTCTACGATGGCGACAACCGCCTCGGCTACGTGCGGCTCCGCGAGTTCAACGCGCGGAGCGGCGAGCGGCTCGCGGAGGCGCTCGCGGACCTCGAGCGCCAGGGCGCGACGCGCTACGTGCTGGACCTGCGCGGCAACCCCGGCGGCGCGTTCCAGTCGGCGATCACGGCCGCGTCGCTGTTTCTCAACGAGGGGACGCCCGTCGTCACCGTCGTCGAGCGCGTCGACGCGCAGAACGCGGACCGCGAGCGCAAGGAGACCTTCAAGGCCAAGCCGCCGTCGACGCTGGCCTTCTCCCGGAACCAGGCCCACGACGTCGAGCTCTGGCTCGACGGCGGCTCCGCGTCCGCGTCGGAGATCTTCTCCGGCGCGCTCCGCGACAACTGCGCGGCCGTCGTCGCGGGCGACCGGTCCTACGGCAAGGGCAAGATCCAGGCCGTCTTCGGCCTCGCCGACTCCAGCGGCCTCGTCGTCACCGTCGCCCAGTACCTCACGCCCGCGGGCACGGCGATCCAGGGCGTCGGCATCGCCCCGGACGTGAAGATCCCGGGGCCGTCCGTGCCCTTCGGACCGCTCCCGCTCCCGAGCGCGGCCGCCTTCGACCGCGACTTCGCGACCGTCGCGTCGACCTGCGCGAAGCCCAAGGTAACGAACTAGGCTTCTTACTGGAACGGGGCTTTACTGGACGAGGCACGACGAACTCTAGACTCTTGCTGGACGAGGCACTGGCACGACGAACTAGGCTTTACTGGACGAGGCCCGCCTCCTCGGCCCGGCGGAGCCGGTGGAGGCCGACGAGCGCGACGGCCGCGAGCGCGGAGACGTAGCAGCCCGGCGCGACCTCGCTGCCCGTGACCCGGATCAGCTCCATGCAGAGCACGGGCGACGTGCCGCCCACGAAGGCCGCGGCGACGTTCCAGACGACGCCGAGGATCATGCCCCGCGAGCCCGGCGCGAACGCGCCGACGAGCCACGCGGCGAGCGCCGCGTTGTACGCGCTGTGGCCCAGCGTCGCGACGAGGAGGCCGAGCTGCGCGAGGAGGCTGTTCTCCGCCGCGAAGGACGCGAAGACGAAGGGCGACGCGAACAAGAGGAGGAGCGCCGCGTTGCCCAGGAAGAGCCACCGCTGGCCCGGGCCGTGCGTCGCGGACCGCACGTCGAGCCACGCGCCGCAGACGGGCACGAGGAGGCACGACAGGAAGAGCGCGCGCGTCGCGAGCACGCTCGAGTCGCCGCCCATGCCGTAGTAGGCCGGCGCGAAGATGTACGTGCTGTAGAACGCCGCGGGCGACAGCAGGCACACGGCCGCGACGGCCGCGACCTTGGGGCCGGACCGCCGGAGCGCGTCGGCCGCCGCGTTGTCCGCGTGGCCGTCGGCCGCCGCGGCCTTCTCGCGCGATTCGCTTTGGATCTCCAGAAACTCGGGCGACTCGTCGACGAGCGACTGGACGTAGTAGCCGCCGACGCCCAGGACCGCGGACAGCAGGAACGGGTAGCGCCAGCCGTAGTCCGCGAGCGCGCGCGCGTCGAAGCGCTCCTTGGCGAGCGACACGGCGACGCCGCCGAGCATCGTGCCCGCGTTGCCCGACGCGAACGCGAACGACCCGAAGAGGTTCTCGTGCCCCGCCGGCGCGGACTCCACGAGGAAGACCAGTGCGCCCGTGAGCTGGCCGGCGACGCTCAGGCCCTGGACGACGCGGCACGCGACCAAAAGGCACGTCGCGAGCGACCCCGCGGCCGCGTACGTCGGCAGCAGCCCGATGGCCGCCGTCGCGCCCGCCATCGACGCGACGGACAGCTGCAGCGCCGCGCGCCGCCCGTACGCGTCGCTGAACGCGCCGACGACGAGCCCGCCGACGGGCCGCACGAGGAACGCCGCGCCGAAGACCATGAAGGTCTCGAGAAGGCGCGAGTTCGGATCGCCGGGAGCGAAGAACAACTTCGACAGTTCCGGCGCCAAGAATCCGAAGAGGGCAAAATCGTACCACTCGAGCGCGTTGCCCGCCGCCGTCGCGAGGAGGAGGAGCTGGTGGCGGTCGCGGTTCGGCGTCTCGCTCACGGTCTCGCCGTCCTTCTGGAGGTCGAGCTGATGTCGCCGTTCTGCGGGCTCGACGACGAGCGCCGGTGCGTCGCCGTGTCCGTCGGAGCGCGCGGCAGCGCCCACCGTCTTGCCATCCTTCTGGAGGTCCAATTGGTGCCTGCGCGGCTCGTCCATCGCAGCCAAGCGCCGCGGCGCGCGTCACACTGTGGAGATCGAGCTGGCAAAGTGAAGTTCAACAGTGCGGAGTGCAACATGCTGAACGACGCGGGCGTTAACGCGGGCGCGACGGGTCGCGGCGCGCGTCGCGAGCGGGCCGTGCGCGACGACCGCAGCTTCCCGCTCAAGTCGCCGCGCGCCGCGGCGTCGACGTCGGACGCGTTCTTTTTGGGCTCGCACCTCAGGCTCGACCGCTGGGCGAAGCTCGCCGCCACCTAGACGTCCCGCCTATTTAAAAGATGTACGGCGGAGGCACTTGGCCCTCGGCCCGCACGCGCGGGACCTCCTGGGGCTCTAAATTTACCGCGGACACTCCTGCCAGGACTTGGCCCAGTGGTGGACCGCGTAGGAAAAGGGCGACGCGTCGGAGGCCGCGGGCGCCGCGTTCGACTTGGCGTAGAAGATCTCGTAGGGCAGGCACACGGCGCGGGGCATGGGCCCGTGCAGCTCGCAGAAGGTGCGCGTGATCAGGCCCGGCCCCGTGTGCTCGATGGTCCAGTCCGCGTCGGCCTGGGACAGGGTCTTCGCGAGCGGCCCGGCGTCGTCGAGGAAGCCGCTCGCGGCGATCGCGGCCAGGAGGTCCGTCGGCGGCGGCTTCGGGCGCTGGACGCGCGCCGCGGCGACGCGCTCCACGAGGGCCGCGAGGAGCGCGTGCCCGGGCGCCGCGCCGATGAGGCCGTTGTTGATCTCGACGGCGCCGACGTTCGAGAAGCCGACGAAAAAGTCCGCGGCCTCGCGGAGCGCGTCGAGGGGCCGGAGCGGCTCAAAGTCCATGTCCGCGTAGACGCCGCCGAAGCGCAGCAGGATCTCGTAGCGCGCGATGTCCGACGCCTCGCCCCAGTTGGTCGCGGCCGAGAACGCGGCGGCGTTCTCGAGGCCGAGCGCGGCGACGTCCGCGTCGCGCCACAGCTTGTACTCCCAGTCCGGATGGAGCGCGCGCCAGGCGGCCGCGTGCGCGTCCGGCGGCGGCTTGGGCCCGAGCCAGATCTGGTGGAGTTTGCGCGGGACGTTCGCCGACCCGCTCGCGCCGCGGCGCCAGTTTTCGTACTTCGCGCGAAGCGCGGCGTGGTCCTCGGCGTCCTTCGACGACCAGAGGCCTCGGCGATGCAGCGGCGGGTCGGTCCACGTCGGCAATTCGTCGAGCAGCGCGGCCATGGGCGAGACGCAGTGCTGAGAGCGTCGCAGCGCTGCCGCAGCGCTTGGAGCGCGTCGCCGAGGCGCGAGTGCGTCCGCGCGGCGGGCCGCGTCGATGGGTGTGCCGCGCGACGCCTTCGCGCGAGCCGCGCGGCACGTCGCGCGGCGTCTGGAGGTCGTCGGCGCGCGCGCACGGCGTCGCTTCGCCAGGCGAGGCGCGGTGCCGCCAAGGCCTGGAGCTCGACTTCAGCGTGCAGGCACGGTGCCGCGAGGCCTCGGCGGCGCGCAACGCGGGCGCGACGGGTCGCGGCGCGTCGCGAGCGGGCCGTGCGCGGCGTCGTCGCGGGGCGTGGGCGGCGCGACGGACGAGTGGCGTCGGGGAGGGGCGGCGGCGCGCGCGCGAAGGCGGGAGAAAAGGCCGTATTCGCGGACGCGCGCGGCGACGGGCGCGCGCGCGCGCGCGGGTTTGTGCGTCGGTCGAGCAGAGGGAGTCCCGGCGGGGGCGGGGGGAGGCGCGGCGGACGGCGAGCGGCGTTTTACGGCGCGAGGAAGCGGGCGTATTCGGGCGTCAAAGTGTCCAGTGTAGGGTACTTGGGGGTACTTGGCAATGGTAGCCGAGAAACCCGCACGATTTGGACTCGGGCGTTTTCAGAGAAGTGGTGGGAGTCGATGGAGTCGTAGTAGTAGTCGTCCGAGTAGTCGATGACTATGAAGATAAAACCCGCACGAAAGCGGCTTGGTGTTACAGTTAAAGGTCTTCTGGAGTAGAGTGTTGCGTCGGGAGACGCAGAAGAGAAACCCGCACAAAAAGGCATGGATTTTGATTTTGGGTTGGGTTGGTTCGCTCCAATTGGAGCTGTATTGGTTTTGTGTGTTTGGTTTGATTGGGGGGGAGCGCGAAAGAGATGGATCGACGTGCAGCTCGACTCTCGGAAGAGGGCGCACAGAAGCTCGCTGTCTGCTTTCACATTAACAAATCGCCGGAACAAGAGGCTGAATCTCAGCAGATCGTAGGACAAAGCCTACTCTCATGCTTACAATACCCCGTTCCATATTTAAGTCGTCTACAAAGGATTTATCCCTCCCAACATTCGAAATTGCGATGGAGTATGATGCTCGGCCGAAGCCTATCGTGATGCGTGTAACATCGGGAGAGGTGAATATCGTCGCTTTCCAGCATGGATTCTGACTTAGAGGCGTTCAGTCATAATCCTACAGATGGTAGCTTCGCGGCACTAGCTGTTCAGCTAACCGCAATGACCAAATATCTGAACCAACGGTTCCTCTCGTACTAAGTTAGATTACTGTCGCGACAACCGTTCATCAGTAGGGTAAAACTAACCTT